GCAGCAACGAACACTATATCCTAGTCCTTATCCCGGGGGGGGGGGGAAGGGATACTGCCATATATGGGCTATATAGGTATGTACCGCTGTGAAGGGTATGGTTTTCAAGCAGTTTACTCTAGGATAGGGTATATAAATCAGAACATTTGGGTCTAAAATAGGGTATCATTTTTCAGGAAACTGATCAGTTGGTTGAAAATTTTATCTAGACTAGGGAAACAGCTACTCTAGGATAGGGGGGATTTGGAGAGTTTACTCTAGTATAGGGTAGCAAAATTTAGCTGAACTAGCTCTGGTATAGGTTAAGGGTTCCAGGGTCCCAGCGGTACATCCCCACCCAGAAATTCCTAAAGTACCCCCTCCCCCGGGGTCCTTTCTCATAAATATTTTCTTCCGGCTGCAGTCCTTGCTCCTACGTATACACTTCCGGTACCGTCCGAATACCTGATGACACTGCACCAAAGTGTGACACAGAATCTATCCCATATGTGACTCTCTACTTTCCAGATCGGTGCGGCGCATTTTCGTTCCGTTAAGGCCGATTTAGACGGTGCGATTTTTGCTTACGACTATCGTGCGTGACTAGCATACGTTATGAGAGGGTCGTGAAGGGGTAAAATGGGAAATGGGATTAGCCTTATTGTGGACTGGGAAAATGGGATTTACTCACTGGGACTGGGATTTAGCCACTGGGAATGGGATAAACAATTATAAAATGGGAATGGGATTTCTTTTCTTCAGCGGTCTTTGCTCCAATATTTTGAAATAGAAAAATAAAATTTCGTAGCTATAGACCTTGCACTCCTCAGTAGAGACCGTGAAATCAGTATTTTTCGCCTTCGCGCCCGCGGTCTAGCTACCAGGCTTACACGGTTGCATAGTTACGTTCCGTCAAGCACGTAGAGCCAGCTGTGGTACCACGGTTTGAAACGTGCGGAAAGAGAGTCAAAAAACAAGATTTCATCCACGGTAAACTGTTATTTTTTTCTGCTTTATTAACGCGCGCGTGGTCGGGTTATTTAGTTGAAGTTTTCTCCGGACCGAGTTGGCTTTACCCTTTCGGCGCTGACTCTCTTTCCAGGTCTGTTCACTTTGCCCCTGATGAGAATGACAGACCTTCTGAGCGGACTAAAATTTTTAAAATAACAACAGTCTATGTTCCCGTCTATATTAGTGAGCTCACTAGAACTTAATAACAGTGTAACATAGCTATTTATCTATTTAGTTCTCGTACCATAGCTAAATGAGTATTTACCACTTACTTATGCATTCTTATTAAAAATAACTAACGTATTTTTGGCTATTCTTCCCTCAGCTACATGCTGTACATGTATTTTACGCTCAATGAACTGATTTGTAGTCATTGAACTACGGGTGTGGTTATTGATCTGTTGTGTACTTATTGAACTGCTGTGTCGTTATTGAACTAACAAAAAGGAAAACTGGTAACTGGGATTTTGGCAAAAATTAGCCTGGGAACTGGGATTTGGGCCAAATTTAGGCTGGGAACTGGGATTTGGTACCCCCCTTCACGACCCTCTTTTATCCCGGTATAAAGAAGAACAAGGTGATGTTCACGAGACGATTCGCGACGACGATTTTCAGCGCAACACAGCGTCACAATGTTGTAACCATTCGAAACAATATCGCAACAATGTTGCAACGGTGTGTTGCGCTAAAAATCGTCTTAGCGAATCGCGGTCTCGTATAACATCACCTTTAAACAACGACGAAGGCGACGGCAACGAGAACGGAAAAAGATCAATAGGTTTAGATCAGCAAAACAGAAACTTTGCACATCACGCTTTTGTTTACATTTCTTTCCCGTCACTCTGGGCAGACCAATGGCTATTTACAGGTCATTTACGAAGACGATAAGCGTGTACGTAGTGACTGCTTATCTCCGTATTCACATATTTTTAGGCGTGGCAATTGCTCCAAACTTTTCAAAGTGGCACGGGGTATATTTCGGTTAAGCCATGGTGGCGTTCCTAATCGGTCAACGCACAATACTTCGAGTACGATGCCATTCGACGCAGACTCGATGAAAATCTTAGACGGGATCAAAACAAGACGAATAACACGCATGCGTTAAGCCCTGATTCGACGCGGCACTAGTCATACTACATCACTCGCCTGGATAGAACTGAGGTGTGATGTAGACAAATTGTCCGCATCGTCCCAAAAAATCCATAGAATTTATACGACTCGTAGGGCTGCATGGAATCGAAGGGTTAATTACTAATATACCAGCTTTTATGACAATGCAAATGAGGTTTACAGAGTTAGACACAACAAAAAGAGCTAATCTGGGCGAGAGCCAAATTCAAAAACGGCGAGTCCTAATTGTCCTAATTAGGAGCCGTAACTTGATTTAAGTGTTTCTATAATCTCCAAAGTGACAACAGTCACTATTGGTTTTGAGTCTTTGGAAAGTTAGACCAGGCACAACTCGACCTCGCGAATTAAAGCGAGCGGAGGGAGTTTATTAGGAGTTTCCAAGCGAGTTTGAACGAGCTTTTTAGGCCGCAAAGCGGCCCAGTGAGGAAATTGGACAAAGGGTTTTTTGAAAGTCTATTAGAGAGTCAACAAAAGAATATTGTTGAATCTACGGTGCGCGTGATCTGTGGTCTTTTTTGACACACCCAGACTACTATTAATATCATCTCCATTCTGTCCATTGTGTCAGAAATAACCTAAAGTCCTCTGAGACTTTCTATAAAAAGCCCCTAGGATAAAGGCTTAAGCCATGTCTAATTCATTGGCGCTATAATTAACTCTTTCGTTTGTTATATAATACAACTGTACGTGTGGCCTCATGTGAAAAATCCGGAGGGGAGAAGCTTTTGCCTTCGTGCCCATGGTTTTGCTCAGCGGTTTGAATAAAATACTGTAGTTGACTAGCTCTAAGGACTAATGATTTTCTTAAATAAAAGTGGACTCATAGATAACTTCAAGTGCACCGACGTGTGCGGAAAAGGAAAGTAAACCTGGCAATTTCTTCTGTAGTTGCCCGAATAACTCCAGAGAAGTTTCTCAGTTTTATCAGGATTAAACTGCGTAAAATATTATGCTTGCTCATTGTATCTGACAAATGAGTAGTGTTTGGTTAAAGGCGAGCCTCAAATTCAACATCACAAAATTAGAGAAGTTTTTAACCTGATAGAAAATCTGGATAATCCATGCGTTACTGTAAAACACTTCGAAAGTACCTTCGTTAATTTCATTCCGTCAGGTTTCCTTTTCTTGCTGTCTTCAGTTTTCTTTTAATAATTAGCGTACCACAAACACTTTTATCACATATCGCCGAGTATAACATTCCATTTCTTTCTACTGTTTGCATTGTTTTAAAACAAGTGCACAGTTTTTCGTGTATCGAAGCAAGCGACACTTTATCAGCTTATGCCCAGAGCGGCACCGTTCTTTTTTCACTTTTTTTTCTCCGTGTTCTGTTGTAATAAAATAATCACAAATCCTAATAGGATTGCGGACGGAGGGAAGTGCGAAAACTGAGTGAAAAGGTTGTCATGGAATAGTAAATTTTGGGTTTTTGTAATTGTTTTCCTCTGTTAAGACCGGCCTCGTCCTTCAAACCCGGCCTCCCCCCCCCCCCCCCCCAGCCCCACCCCCCCCCCCCCACCCAGCCCCCCCCTCACACCCCCACCCGCAATTTTCTGCGGGGTTTGGTGGAATAAAAATATCACAATTCCCCAAAAGATTTGCGGCGGAGGGGAGGGGCAAAACTGAGGGAAAAGGTTGTCATTGAATAGTTAAATTTTGGTTTTTTTTAATTTTTTCCCCTTGTAAAACCCGCCCCCTCCCTCCAACCCCCCCCCCCCCCCCTCCCCGCGCACCACCACCCCCTTCGAACAGTTCTCTCGTACGCAGGAGTTACTTGTTGCCTTGCAAATGCCAATAGTGTTGAATTAAGTAAAAGACTGTGATATTCAACTATATGCATTTTGCAGCCTATTACACAGTTATACACATGGCTCTTCGTCCCTATAAAGCGTGATAACTTAAAATGGTTTTAGTTATTTAGTCAATATAACTGCGTCTCAGAACTAATTCCTTTGAAATGAGGTGTCTAAATAGCGGATTACATATTTGTGGGTAAATGTCTGTTTTTATCTTTCACGGTTGCAAAGATGGAAACTCCGCGATTCTAAGGTAGCTCCAGTGTCTGTAGTTTTTAAAATGACCTCCTCAGTGAAATCCTAGTTGTACGTTTTCAACGCTGAACTCAAATTTAGCTAAATTTGTTTAGTTTGTGTATTTTTTTTTCGTATGCTACCGCATGGAAAACAAAATTAATATTGTTCTCACAGTTATTAATCCTTTTATCGGCATACGTCCTTTTATCCTTTGTTTTCAAAGAAGAAATTTCGTTTTTATGATGTTTTTTTTTTATTTTCTATCAGTGTAGCACCCGTCCAGTTTTGCAATGTAAATAATTTTTTTTTGTTTTTATCAAAATGTGTTTTGTTTTCATCAAAACAAATGTTTGTTGAAAGAATTACATTTCAGAAACACGAGTTTAAGATGCGGAAACTGGTTAAACTTTTGTCCAGGAACATCTAAAATTGTAAAATATGTATCCTCTTATGTAACTCCCGGTAACTAAACTATACCAAGCGCAATTCTTTATTTATATTTTCAGCCCAAAGGTAAGCAATATGCGTTTAAATAATTTCGATACGTATGAAAAAGAAAACCGCGGTAGAGCAGAATTCCCTCCTGACCATAAACCAAAACCATATTGAGGGTTATTCTAGAAGAGACTTTAATTTATTACACAAAAAACGCTTTTAAAATCCAGCTACTGTTTCAGCCCCGCTGTTTGGATCATTTCAAGTTCTTCTGAACGGTGGATCTTGATGGCAAAGAGCGAGAGATTTTAACAGGTTAAATCGACATTTTCAGACGGAGAAAGTCTTTTTAAATTACTGATTAGATTTTTCTTGGGTTTCTTGAGCTGTCTCCTTGCTTTCTACTACAGTATCTTCGTTAATTTCTTGTCGTCCTTCCCTTTTCTCTTTTCTAAACTCTTGTAGAAGCTCTTCTATATCAGTTCTTGTTTCTTCGTCACAGCCCTCCACCCAGTTTGAGAAAAATTTGTTCATTTTTTCCTGTAGTGTAGCCTTAGGAATGAAGCAAAGTTCCTGGGCAACTGACGGTTCTTTCTCTCTTTCTGTTTCTTTATCCTTGTCGTTATCTCCTTCGCCCTGTGATATCCTTTCCAGCGATTCACTCTCTTCCTCTTCATTACAGTCTCCTTCGTTTGATTGTTCGGTTACTGGTGTCGGGTTTTTCTTAAACTGTCTCCCAAAAGCTGAGATTCTTCTACTAGGTGACATTTTTCGTTGTCTAGCACTTGCTGGCTTTGTTCTAGAAACAAGCCTAGCCGTCAATCGTTCCTTACTTGCCATTGAATCTCTACTCGAGGGTAAATTATCAAAGTTTGGCAGTGAATTCCTCCTTTTCCGCCTCAAATTACTGCCTTCCACGTGCCTGCTAAAGTTTCCAAGTTTTACGTTCAGGCTTGCTTTGCTTTCATCTATTGCGAGCTTGTCTGGGACAAACCTAATTGGTTTTAGTCTTGGCGATGCTGTCAAATTCTCTCTCTTTTCTGGTGTCAGGGCATAAGGCAGGCTCGCTCTTCTTTGACGCAAAAGAGGATGATCTAATTTTCCTCCTGTTATCCCACTCCCTATTTGTTCGTTTCTTGTCGTGGCGTTTCCTGAACTCGTTTGTGGTGTACAAATCTTGCTGAAGGAATTACTAAGGTTTATTTCTGCAATGGAATGACGGCGGCCCCTACAGCGAGGTGCCGGAGTTGAACTAGACGGCGCAAACTTTTCCACTTCAAATGACACGCCTCTTCTACCAAAGTTGTCATTCTTTTCACCCACAACTGAAACCAGTCTTGATGGCCTCATCCTAATATCATTTTGTTTCACAGCGATTTCATTACGGGAGCGCTCTTGAATTGGCTTGAAAGACTTACTCTCCGTGACTTCTGCTTTTTGCAGTCCAATGAGTTTGGGCTGTACACAGACATGTTTTTGGTCTAAGTTCTCCACAAGAATGGTGGCATTCTTATCCTCGCGTCTCTGGATATCGCTTCGTGTACCGAGAAGTTTGCGATCCTCTAGTAATTGCTTCTTTAAAGACATCATTTCTTGGTCAATCTTTTCCAATTTCTCTTTCTTCGCCGAATTTATCCGGTTGATTTGAACTTTCAGTTTTCTGTCTTCCATAGCGTTGCTTTGAAAAACCTGTCCGATGTCAGAACTCCATCGTGGAACTTCCATCTTTAATTTGAGCATGGCTTGGAAATTTAGACTGATCACAACGCCACTCCACTCTCTTATGCAATATCAGGGAGGACCAACTTTGCCTGAAGTGTTTAATGAAAAGGAAAACCTTTGGGAATATAACAAAGGTAATGCCACAAAGAGCATTTTCATGATAGCATTATTGACAAAAATTATGGCAAAAGTACAATAAACGGTTTTCTTAAACGGATTATCTACTCATTTACTACCTTTATGTCCGTTCGAAAGTTGCTTCTAATCATTTAGCGGTCATGCGCATGCTTTTGAAGTTAACACGTTTTCATAACGTTGTAACGTTCTTGTAAACGTTACCGCATTAAGGAATCCAGTGTGACCAAAATCGACTCTCTTATTCCGCAAATGACGTTTCGTGAAAATAATAGTAATAATAATAAAAGAATCAATAAAGCCTCTTTGTCCTTTGAAGGCCGGTGTTCGTAATTACCAACTCACTTCTCAATAAAGTAGTAACTGACATTTTACAATGCAGAGTTTCTGTTCCTGCCCTACAGTAAAAATCGCGTCCTTATGGAGTCGAAACCATGAGGTGAATTTGTTTGAGAAACGGGGCCAACAAATAGAGCTAAATATGTGTCGATGCCGTCAGCCACTGGTCGGAAAATACGAACAAAGCTTATTTCATTAAGAGGTGTAATTAAATTTCAACTATTGTCTCAGAAATCTGTGGTTTGACCAACAAAAAGGAAGCTTAACATCTAAGGAAAAATGATGTTCCTGTAATTTTCTTGCTCGCCAGTCACGTAGAGTATCAAAGAACAAAACAAAACAGAAACATATGATTTTACATCAGCAAATTCTTGATTAGAACCTTATTATTTATAAAAAAAATTCCGACGTCTCGTTTGATCTCTTTCTCGCTTACGATGGTCCTATAAACTTCATTGCATGCCAAGAAAGGTTCCTCTTTAGATTCAGTAATAATATATTACGTCCGACACACAATCACTGCGTCGAACTGCGTCATTAACTACTGGAGGCAACAAAAGTTGAATGATAGTTGCACGACAAGTTTTGCCCGCACTTCTCAAAGAAAATAGTTGCTGTCCAAGGCTGGATTAGATATAGAGTGGAACGTTTAAGATTACCTTTAGCTTCTTTAGTATTTTTGTTGATATATTGTATGTTTGTTTGTTTTTTCTTAAGAGTCAAGTGCAGAAAACTTTTAGAAATTCCCGTGACAGTTGCTATTCCTCTAATGTTCCAGATACAACAGCAGCAGTACTTGACGGTTTTTTTAGTCCAGCAAAGACTCTGGGATAACCAAACACGTGTACAAGTAGAGATTAGTTTGCAAGTTGCTGTTGCTATGGAGAGCTAACAATTAGTAAAAACTGTTTGAATGCAGAGGTCCACGCAACTTGTAAATATAACTGACTGATTCCTATTGCCGGATCTCTAATTAAAGAGATGCTGTAGCCAGACGTCACTTAAAATGTAAAGTAAAACAAAACTAAATGCAGGGCTGGCACTACGGCAAAGGGCTGATTTATGATAGGCCAATATTTCGGCTAACAAAATTAGTCTTCCTCAGGGCCAGGGCTTTACCGAGAGAAAATATCTTTTAAGGGCTCCTAAAATTTGAATTTAAAATTTTCATAAGTAAATTAGTGGTAGCTCGTGGTAGAGTTTGATTTGGAGTCAGAATACAGGGTCTGGACAGGATCCCCTAACCTAGCTGGTCTGGAATGGTATTCTAGGGATCCGGGATTTGACCGAAATCTAGAGCGGGATTCCGGAAAACGCAGCCTCGTCCCTAGGCGTTCTCGGCTCGGTCAATCCTGGACTCTACCGTGAGCTGTGACGTCACCGAGAGAGAGAAAGCCTAGGGACTAGGCTGGGGAAAAGGCAAAATTTGGAAGCCAAATTCGCCAAAATCTTGGCATGGGATGCGGTGTTTGGAAAGAAAACGTTATTCGGCAGGGAGGTGACGGAAATTTTGGTGATAAAAGAACGGGAATGCTAGTGTTCTTGGCAACCGCTCCGAGATCTTGACTCCCGGCGCGTTGCGGCGCATCATGGGACATCAAATGTAGTTTCCAGTTCCTTCTGGGAGAAGATCCAACATGGCGGCCGCAGGAGTAGTGTAAGAAAATTTGTCTTTATGAAGATTTTCACATCGAATTTCTCCTTTTGTTCTCATTTTGTATTTATCGAATCGTTTTTTGATGCTATTTTAACAGGTTATGTTATCGTTTTTTCTAAACAGGCGGCCCAAAACACAACGTGGCAAGCGTGCTTTGGAACAACGTGCGCCGAAGAATGTCGAGAATACAAAAACCGCGCTGTTTCTACGAGGGGGCAAGACTAGTGACCTTGTTACCCAGGCTATGAAAGATATTGTAAGTAAATAAAGATATCAGGATGTTGAGTAAACTTTGGTTTTCACGAGATATATAATTGCTGATTACTTGTTCTCAAATCGTGTGCTCACTAAAATGAAAACTCGTGATAAGCTTACGTGTTTTGTAGACATCTAAAAATCCACATGAAAGCCCAGTAAGGGTGTTACGGATTTCAAGTAACGGGGAGGATCGAATGGGTGCAAAAATCAAAAACAAAACAAAAATCCGTAGGGCTCCCAATAACCCCCCCCCCCCCCCCCCCAAAAAAAAAAAAACCCGGAACCAAAAATTACCCCCCTCCTTTTTTTCCCAAACAACACCGCCGGGAGACCCTGGAACAACCGTGTACCAAAAAACTTAAACATATTTTTAACAACCCCAAAAAACCCACCTTAAATTCAGCCAACCAAAAACATAATTACAAAAATTTCATTCCCAAAAAAGGGATCACAAGTGTGTCACCCCCCTCTCAAAACTAAAAAACACCACAAAAAACCCCAAAAGGGGTTTCGAGTTTTAAAAAAAGGGGGGGAGAGAAAGGGGGAAAAAAAAAAAAAAAAAAAAAAAAACCCCAGGGCCCCCCAAAACCCCCCCCCCCCCCCCGCAAAAAAAAAAATCCTCGGACCAAAAATTTACCCCCTTACTTTATTCGCAGAACTACGCGGCTGGGATACGTCGGAACTACAGTGTACCAAGAATCTTCAGATTGTTTTGAATACCCCAAAAAATCCCTACTTAATTCAAGCCTGCCACCAAAAAAGATATTTGCAAAATTTTCCTACCCAAAAAATCCCGGAATTGAAAATTTCAAACCCACAAAAAATCCTTCGATCACTCCCGTCACTTGAAATCTGGAGTATCCCCCTGGGCGTAAAAACAGACATCAAATTTTGCATACTTCACCCTGGTTTTCGTACATTATGGTCTTCAGGATAATAATTTGTTGACGAATCAACACTTTCTTCGCTCTATGATCACTTGCTTCATTCTCATGGTGTGTAGCTTATTTAAATGTAAATAGTTTGATGAGAAATTTGATCTTGGTCATACTCTAAGTGATTTAAGGTTTAGCAGTTGTCATTGTTTTGGGATTGGGAGATCAATATATTTATCTTAAATATATTAATCTTATCTCCAGGTTTTCTAATTTGCAATTTTTCATTGCTCATTTATGGATGTGATAGTTGCTAAAAAAAACACAGGCAAATGCCATATTTAAAGGCTTATTTCCAAAGCGAACTTAACACTTGCATGAGATACATCTTGCTAACAATAAGACCTGGACAACCTATTGCAAAGCAGCAATAATTCTGAAATGCAGAGCAGAGAGATTGAACCCTAATGGAACATACAAGAAAGAAAACATCTTTGTTTGAGTTAAATAGAAATATGTATGTAAAAAAAAATGAGTTGAATTGAATTGAAAATGCCAAGACTTGCACCAAGAGATCCAAAATATTCTGACCTCATCAGTGTAGAAAGTACATTGAAAGCACTCACGTTGCAGGTGATCTAGAAACAGTATGTATACATGCAAATAAAACACCACTTGGACTGTATGGGCACCTTAATATGAAAGAACAAAGAAATTAGGGTAATGCGTCAACATATGTGATTGAAATTATTAAATTTAATTTTCATTGATATACAACCTTAGACAAAATTGTTGGGACACTTTTAAAATGGTCCTTATTATGTGATGTTCAGGGACCACGGAGCAAGGTGAAAAGTGGGAGGGCTGACTATTGAAAATAATTTTTTCATATTGAAAATCAAAAAAAGGAATAAAATCATAGTATTTTATTTGTTTCTGTCACGTGACTTTGCATACTTTATCCAGTAATTGTTGCTCTTTATAGGTCGGCCAACATACACGGTCAGTTCAGAGTCAATGCAAGAAAAGACGCGATTACAATTTTAGTATAGAAAATACTACACTGAAGTGATCTGACAAATTTCTAACTATGGCCGTTCACTGTTCAAGTAATGTAATTCTTCTTGCCATCGAATATTTCATTGATACGAAAGGAGAAAGACAAAATATAAAACTTTTATCAACTCAAAACAACTACTCACCTTCGTTAGGCTTGAAAAAGCTAGTAATTTTCTTCATTTTGTCTGATAAAGCTGATAAAAAAAAACTCTGCCGGAGCTGGAAGTACAAAACACGCTGCCGAACGAAGTGAAGGGGTGGCCAAGGCATGGCCTTTGATCAAGGAGCAAAAAAAAGCACAGGAGCCCCACAAAATGCCTGGCGTTTGAAATTAAAGAAAATACAGAAAATATAGTGGAATATAGACGGAAAAAAACTTGTTTCAAGTCTTTTTTTTTTATTTTAATTATTTTTCCTTTTAGCGCAAAAAAGTGGTGGGGCCGCGGCCCTACCAGACCCTCCCCCTCCACGGTCCCTGATGTTAAGGTCAAAATTTCTGTGATTTTGAATTTCTATGAAAGGGTAATGGGGTGCAGTCATGCTTTGACTATTTTTGAATCCCCCATAATACACTCAGTTTGCCCCCCAAATTTTGCATAAACATTTGTTTTCGAATGCTCCTGAGAATATGGCATTTTCCCAAGAGCATTTGAAGACCATAACTTATGCAAAATTTGGGGGGAAAACAGAGTGTATTATGGGCAATTTGAAAATAGAGAATTGGGTTGTGTCAAATATCCCTGTGAATAATGACTGAGACTCCTGGTTGATGATGGTGATTATACCCCTTGTGAAGGCAATTTACTTTGATAAACATTATAACAAGATAACTACATATTGATTGTGGCTTTGTTGTTTCTAATTCAAGACTTTATCTTTTCCAGTGTTTGCTTAAGAAGCCCAATGCAGTCATGTTCCAGAGGTTAGCAGTTCATAGCTACTCACATTCTAAATTGTCTCAGCCCTTTTTTGCTTCAATTTATTTATTTTTAATGGAGATAGAAAATATTTTAAAGTTGAGACTGACTGTGATTACTGTTTACCCAAAGTAGGAACAACTGTACACAGTAACTCAAAGTTGTCTGTAGTTTCCTACATGTAACAGTATTTTTGAAACCATGATAAACACTAAAGGAGCAATCCCTATGTAATTGGAAACTAGTCCAGCAACTTCAGTCTGGTATACCCTTATGGTCAACTCCCATTAGCAGAAACCTGTGCCAGTAAAGTGATTGGCAAAATAATATAACAACAATACAATGTACATTCTTATCAAAAGAGTAATGCATGAATCATAGGTAAACATGAATTTAATTTTATGGCAACTGGTATGACAATACACTAAATCCAGTAAATTCTGTTTTCATGCAGAAAAAATATATTGAGGCCATTTGAAGATCACACCTCACTTGTAAGTATTTATGCCTTTTTCCATGTCTTAATCCACCACTGAACTGAGACGAATGACTCACACAGGAACGTACTGATCATAACGCCTATGCTAAACCATAGACAGGGTATATCCTAATATCATATTATTACCTGTTCCCCATGCCTAGGCCCACTGGTAATACTTTACTAATTACAACAGGAGGAGAAAAAGGCATAAGAATTCTATTTGCCGGCAAATATTTCCTATCTGTACTTCTGTATACAGAATGACTTTGATCTTCTTTCAGGAATTCTTCAGTGTTAGAAATGATGCTTCATTATTTATCTTTGGGTCTCATTCCAAGAAAAGACCTCACAATCTTGTTTTAGGTATGTTTTTTCATTCTTTGGAACACTTGACTCTCATTCCTTGGAACATGTCATGCTATAAAAGTAAAATACTGTCTTATGTTCTTTGATAGGCCGCTGCTTTGATGGTCATATTTTAGATATGATTGAGTTAGGCATTGACAAATTTGTATCAACAAAGAAAATCAAGGTAAGGTTATCATTAAATATTATAATGAGAAAAAACTGTAATATCGTTATAATTGTTCATGCTGGTACAAGAATGTTCTCGATCCCTGATTATAGCTGACAACAGACCATACCTTAGTACTAAGTTTTCAGTTAAATACTATACACTGCTTCACCCCATATATTTTTTGTACTGCTGATATAGCTAGCCACTTAACATGTTCATTGTGGGTCACAAATCTTAGGTAAATCAACTTTTGAGCCCTTTAAGGTGATCAAACTGTGAAGTTCTAGAGCATGCTGTTACCACAAAAACCAACATTCCCAGACTGGTACACTGTTGTTAATGTGGCTCATAAAGTTAATTATTTTCCCCCATCTAGAATGTTTGACAACAAAATGGAGTGGAAATAAACAACTCTACTCAACAGAGATCATACCGATCCTTACAAATTACTGATGCATGTTCATTTCATTACACTACAAGAATTTACCTGCAGTAGTACTCAATATGAGTGGACTTCCGATACATTTAGTTTGCAACATGGCCCTCTACTGAAAAAACTCAGCATTTATGTTTGCGTAACAATCGTTGATGTTTGGTACTTGCAATTTTTTCTTTACTAGCCCTCAAAACACAGCATGGTTAACTTATTAGTATTTTAAAATTCCAAATTTGTTATCAAATGAAATTTTTTCTGTTTTCTTTCTTTCAGACACTCAAGTGTTCATTTGGTACAAAACCTTGTTTGTTATTTTCTGGACAAGAATTTGAAAATGGTGCAGTTTACAAAAGATTAAAAAATATCCTCATAGGTGGGTATGAGTGAAACTGCAGTGTATTTATTTATTCACAACCTTGTTGTTAGGGTCCTAGTCTTAGAATAACAATGTCTGCATGTCCTTTCTACCTTTTTCTGGTAAAAAGGTAAAGACGCATACAAGCCAAAGGCCCAAATGGCCGAGGCTTATAGCAGTTTCCTTAGCACAAAGCTTGCATAGGAGTATTGCTACTTCCCCCTGGATGGGATGCTAGTCCATCGCAGGGTTACCTCCCAGCAGTATGTCGCTGGTTCCTATTTATAAACCTGGGTGAAGAGAGACAAAGTGGAGTAAAGTTCCTTGTCTAGGGAAATAGCATGAAAAGCGATGCTTAAAGCCAGACCTCCAGATCCGGAGTTCAGGGTGTTAACTTCTTGGCCACACAAACCTTCAATACTTTTTCTGGGATTGGAATCTATTTGCATGGTAGAGAGATGCCCTGGCTACTTGAGCTTCTCTTGGAAAGCCAACTTTTCATTCCTTTCTTAACATAATGCACTAAAGCATCGACAAAATAATATAGGCTGGATTAGTATAACTTACCTGCCCACAGTACCACAAATGAATGTACAGGGTGTATTTTCCCTGGGCACACATCCTTTTAAGGGCCTATCTAGCTGAGATAAATACCATGAAAACCCAGGGCACAAAATTACCTCCCCTCCCCCCCACTTCCTTCTTTTTCATTATCACCTACCAGTCACATCAGTCTGCTAAATAGAATGGTTTTGAACATGCAAACATCAATGTGATTTACAGGTCAAGAAAAAGCCTCAAGACAGCTGAAAATTCTCGGCGATATAGCTGTTCCACAATTGTCTTCAAGTATTAAAGGGTGTAAAATTGCGTTAACGTTGTATTACTGTACCTTACAGATTTTTTCAGAGGGCCAGTGATTGAGAAAGTGCGGTTACAAGGACTGGAGCATGTTCTTCAGTTTACTGCTGTCGATGGAAAAATTTACATGAGAAGCTACAGGTAAAGTTTTAAGAAAGATAACCATAATAAATGGGTTTCGAAGGATTAAACAGCAGGGGCACATGGTATCTAATGGACTAGTAAAAATGGTCAGACAGCAACATTCAACAAATTGATTTAGATGTGGCAGAAGTAGTATTTAAGCAAAGTGCAAAATTTTAAATCTAACGTGATTGCTGTGCTGCCAGCATGCAAAGAAAATCATGTCTGATAGTGTAGGGCTAAGGCTTCCTCAATCAATGCGCAGGACAGAGACCATTAAAAAATGCTTTGCTCCCTTACTTCCCACATGATGATGATGATGATACATTAAGTGGTTGTTATTTTCCTCAGGGATAATAGAGTGAGTGAGATATGAGTATGGAGAGAGGCAAAATCACTCTTTATTGGCAGTGATTCCAACACACACTTGCATATGGTACTTGAACTATCCTGAGGGAAAAAAGGGACTACCTATAGTCTAGGTTTTTTAAAAAGTTAAGTAATTTTTGTTTCATTTCAGAGTGTTATTAAAGAAATCAGGAAGTCGAACACCAAGAGTTGAGCTTGAAGAAATGGGGCCTTCCCTTGACTTTGTTATGAGAAGAACACATCTTGCATCAGATGACTTAATGAAGGCAGCCACAAAGGTGCCAAAAGCAGTCAAGGTAATAACATGAACAGTTTATTCAGGCCCAGTTGTTCAAAAGGTGGTTATAAGAGCTATCCAATGGGTAAATCACTGTCCAGTGCATAAGTATTAGGAAAATCAATATTGCAAAATCTACTGGATTGAAATTTATCTAGTGAATAGTACTATATCCACCTTTTTTACAACAGCACTGATGCCTGCATGAGGATTAAAGAATTTTAATTTTGAGAGAAAAGTGAACATACTTTTCTACTTAAAACTGTTAAAACTAGAAATGGACTTCTAACAGCCCATGTAACGGCAAATTTTACAAGAAGAATGCCAAGATAAGTGGGAATGTAGTTGTTTAGTAATAAGGAAGAGAGTGAAGATAACCCAAACAGCTGAAATAGACATTGTTAAATATGAATTAGACATTTTCAATTTTAATGGTAGGTAATTGAATGAGTCAAATCAGCTGGGTTAAACTAATATTGTTATGGTTGGTAAATATTTGCCTAGTGTTTGGCCCCTTGGCTAATTCACATAACATTTTCAAGAATGTTTTTGCAAATTGCTGTTGTTAATTGAAAAACAGTGAACATTGTACAGTTTTCATTGCTATCAAACCTGTCAAAACTGATGAAAGACACTTTTAAATTGAGATTATCATTTCAAAAATTATTAAGTACAACAATACATTGTAGTTGAGACAGAATACTAATTTACTGCATTCATATAATAACGTGGAAGTTCCATATTTTTGATACAAGTGTTATATTTTGCAGCCTAAGAAAGTGAAGAATGTTTCATATGACTCGTTTGGAACCAAGGAAGGAAAAGTTCACATGAAAAGACAGGACTACACTAAACTTCAGACCAGGAAGATGAAAGGACTCAAGAGAAAATCTGACACATCTGAAACACAGGGAACAAAAAATAAAGTGAAGAAAAAAAACTAGATAAATAATGGGGTTTAGATTATACCTTTTATTTGAGATTTTTGACGGTGAAAAGTGTAAAGTTAGATTGTACTTTTACCGGTATATGAAATAAAATACATGTATGTTGTTAATGTTCAACATAGCAGATGCGATAGCATATGCTATCTCCGGTGAGACTCATGATTAGAAAATTTGATGCAAACTACACCATCTTACATTTAAATGCTGACAAGGTATTTTTTGTCAACTTGTATGTACAAAACAACATTTCTTATAAAACAGAAAAACCATAACATCTGATGGCTGTATTCATCTTTTGGTCAACTTTGTACACATTCATTTTCAGAACCTAGTAACAACCAGAACTTAGGACACAAAATTCAAGTTCTGTTTTTCTATATACACAATCCCATGCCTTATTTTCTTTATTCTATGTTTTAGTGGATAAGCCTTCTAAGTCAAAGGTCTTCCTCTCTAATTCCTTCTAGTATGTGTCTTGTTCGTCATAAAAAAGTGACCTTCAGAAAAGAAGTGTTGCATTTAGTGTCTTTCAATAAAGTAGCAATGTCAAATGAGTGAATATATTATTGTGTGGATTTTATGCAGGGTTCATGAAAATAATGGTCTTTCCAGCTAATTTTAACCTCCCTGTTTTCACCAGTGCTAACATGAATGCCTTTGTAGCTGCTCCTAGACAAAGAAGATTTCTTAGATCCTGTTCAAGCATGGCAGGTTCAAGGTGTCCTGAAATTGAATTGTAGCGAATTGTTTTCATTATAAACTAAAAATTAATTTGGTATGTGTACAAGGATATAGAGTAGAACCCTGGTAAATCAAACCCTGAGGGGCAACAAACAACAGTCTGAGTTAGCAGGGGTCAAAGCTATTGCCATCAATTGAAAATTAATGTCCAATTTGCCATGTTACATTTGTGTAATAATAACATTGATAGGTACTGAATTTGTCAGCTCTTCAGTAAATATGTACAGTGCAAATTTAAGTTATCTCATCAGAAACGGTAACATGCTTATGCATTATGATAAAACGAGATCTGTTTGTTGCACTAATTAAAACTAAATGGTTTCAATTATTTTCACCGATTATGCAACAAAAACAGCTTATGTGATGCATCCCAGTGGAGTTACACAAACCAGAGTTACTGGGGTAAATTTCAGTGAAATTTTTTTCAAGGGAAAGGAAATTTAGTTCGAGTCAGCAGGGAGTTGAAGTTATCCGAGTTCAACTTATTGAGGTTCTACTGTATTGTGCTATGGAGCCTATCCATCTGTCACAGATTCATCCTTGAAAAGAGTTTGCCATCCAAGTCACCCAAGCACTTGAAGAGAGCATAGTATTTTTTGCAAAGAGAGGATTGGCATGGGCTTTGTTTTTAGGATGATCATGGAAATTCAAAAATTACCATTAAAAAGTCTTTGAAGAAACAGTGAGCTGCACCCCCAATTTTGAGCAACAGTATAGGAGGAAAAGGTGTGGCCTATCAGCTAGTATCAGGGCTTGAAAAAAAAACTTGAATTCCAGCTTGTCCCGTGGGAAAGCAGCTCTCGCATTTTGCTTGCCTGGTGCAACTTCTTGCTTGTCTTAGTTAATGAATTTGTTAGAGGATGAGGACATCATTAGTTCCACCCAAAATGATGACCCACACTTGTCTGACCAATGGACAAGTGAGCTTTAAAAGTTACTTGCCCAGTAAGATAACTTCGTGCCAGACTACTGGATGAGACTTTTCTCTGCAGTGATTGTAGCAATTTCCAACATAACAAGCCTGTCTATCCTTTACTGCTGTACTTAAATTTTCCTTACCTTGATTGTTGCTCAATAAGAATTTATTTATTGTGTCAAGATGGTGGTTAATACACTCCAGGCTGAACTGGTTTGCAACATATACAGGTAGAATGCTGTACTCATTCTCATTCAGAGGTTGAACAAACATGTGCTGGCTTTGACAACTGTGATCTGCCAAGTAGCTGCCTTGTACAGGAGCAGTAGGTATAACATCATCTATGGTGGAAGAGAATACTAAACTATGTTATTTTTCAAAAGTGGCAAACATTGCCATTTTTCAGCCATTATTTTGTAAGGATAAAGTCTCCCCTTGTGTTGTTAGTAGATACATGTTAAAGGACAGGGCAGCCTATTTGATGGACTGGCATTTTGTTTTGAAAGATAATACCTGCAACAAAAACGCAACACTAATCTGATAGACTTGTGTCTTCATATTACTATGAATTAAAACTTGTTGCAAGATTTTGTCTGGATATACTCTCAAATTAAAGTAAATGTCACGGATCTTTTAATAATAGTTATGGGAATAAGTCAGAATACCGTAAATTCCGAAAATAAGCCCCTCCATGTATATGCCCCTCCAAATGTAAGACCTCCAAACTCATAATGCAAAAAACCTCCGTTAAATTGCCCCTCCAAATATAAGCCCCCCGGGGGCTTGTACTTGGAAATTGCCCTCAAATACAAAGTAAAACAAAGCAAAACCGGTAAATTTCCTTCTAACTATAAGGCTAGCCCAGTCAATTTTGGAACGCAAAATGCCCTTGATCCATAAATAAGGCCCCTCCGAATATAAGCCCCTCCAAAAATAAGCCCCTCAAAAAGGGCCTTTGAAAAATATAAGCCCCGGGGCTTGCTTTCGGAATTTTACGTACTTTAAAAGATTCAGTTTTGCACCTTCCTGGATTTGATTTATAATAATTTACTTTAAGTTGAGTGTTTGTTAACCAGATGTGTCAGAAACTCCAAGTTGTTTGCCTGCTAGTGATTATGTTGTGTGGACAGGTGTCTTTTGTATCATTAATGTACTGAGTGAGAGTTCTAGAGAAATTACTGGTTCAAAATTGATGTACCATTACTTGATCTGTACAAAACTAAGTTTTCTGTTTTTCACCTACTCATACATTGTTAACAATCCCAAATTGGATATTCTGATTATGCAATATTAAATAGTTAACCAACAAAAGTTTGTTTATTGTCATTGGGTTCATTAGGGCCATTTATACGAGGAAAAATATGACGCATCTTAAAATTAATAAGACACGAACTGTACCATTTATACGAGCATTTCTTATCTAATAAGACGCGTCTTAGTTAAGCTGCGTCTTATTTTAGACGAAATGTGCTGTTTATACGGAAGGTTCACGTCTTATTTAAGACGCGTCTTATTTTTCCTCGTATAAATGGCCCTATTGTTAAGTTCACACACCTGGTTTAAGAATATGCACAGAAGTAATGTCTGGCGGAGGTGGCAGGGCTTCCAAGCTGAATGACAACTCTGATGATGGGAATTCCAGTCCTGAAGGGCCTAATGCCTTCAGACCTGGAGTACCCATCACTGGTGGGGCAGGTAGATCAGGAGATCCCAGTGCTGGCGACAAGTTAGTCTGAATATTTGCACCTCTATCAGATGTTTTAAACATTGGTGTGACTGTGACTGGCTGTGGTGGGAGATGGGAATCCTGTGGTGTTGTTAAATTATCAGTTGGTGTCTCTGTGGTCTCATCAGCCAGTCGTGACTTAATCATTGGTGTGGTTGTTTGCGGAGCTTCAGGAGTTGAATAAGGTGTCATCTGTCCTTTATCCTGTAGTATGCCTGGTCTGGGTCCAAATAGTCTTTGTGGAGTAACTTCGATCATCTTGGTGAATGTCTGTGGTGGGACAGGCAACTTGAAGATATCCTCCTCATTTTCTGTAAAGAAAATAATCATTGCCCTCAGACTGTATTCAGTTTAAATAAACAACACTTACTCATAGTGTACACGAAGAATAAATTTGGCTGGTTGGCAAATGAATTTAAGTAAAGGAAATAATCTCTATTTAGTTACTCTTTGATAAGTTCATGATCATGCGCAATACACACAGTAGCTCAGGAGATTCAGTTATCTCAGTGTGACTGCTGAAGATTCTTCCCACACACCAACATCATGCAACTATTAACCAGTTTTGCCACAATTGTTAAGTCTTCGACCTTTTTTTCTCTCTGAGAATGCATTTTTCCTGCCAGTGCATAGCACTATTAATAATAATGTTAAAAAATCATTGGTAATTAATATTTTTTAAACCTGGGACTGGGTAGAAATAATTAATAAGTAGTTTCTTAGAAATCGATTTTAAGATAAATATTAGCAATAAAAAATCACGACGTTTCGACCTCTCCGAGGTCATTTTCAAGTGTATAAAAGTTCTCTAAATTAGCATAAATAAGTTAAAAACAAGTTATAATAGATAAAAATGTGGTGAACGCTAAAATGTGGTAAAA